AACCCCAAGAGAAATTAAGACCAAAAATGTAAATTGAAAACAAGAAAACTTTGAAAGTGGAAAGAACTTATCAGGATACTATTGTGACGGTATTTCAAATCGATAACGCAATATCATGTGTCTAGTTTAAAATACCGTCACAATTACATTATGTTGTGGTTAAAGTTTTTTCAACTGATGGAACAACTTCCCGGAATGTTATTGTGACATTATTTCAAGCAAATGTTATGTTTCTGGCTTGAAATATCGTTACAATTTTATCTTACTTGTAGGTAAGTTTCTTTTGAGTGAAGTATGCACCTCTCTCATGGACTGTGACATAATGCGGTCAAGTACGAGCTGGGAAGTGACAGAGGAAGCAAAGTAAAATTGGTTTCCGGGGTGGGTCAGCGGCTCCTCTGCTTCTCCGGCAATGTTTTCAGGATTGGAAGGAGTGGCGGTGGTGCAAGAGGAAGAGCTATTTGAGGATTTGGAATTAGCCATGCATGAAGAAGGAGGCAGAGGAGCAGGGTGATACTGAGACAGAGCTTTGGAGACTTCAAGAGCAGAGGCACTCCATGACCTTGAGAGAAACTCCATTGGAACTCTTGGGCTTTTGGGGAGGTGGTCACGGTGGTTGACCGGACTCTGGTCAGTCCGGCGAGTGGTTAACATTGGTAGTGATTCTTCCATGGAAGTGGAAATGTTGTGGAGAGAGAGAGAGAGGTGGATTTAAATTTGGTAAAGGGATTTTGGGATCAGGATATTAGACAATACATATATACACATTTATAGGGTTGTTATGTTTTCATCTATCTAAGATTTTCGACACATTTTATAACAAAAGTATAGAAGAAAAGGCTAAACTGTGAATTTGTCTTCATAACTATTACTTAACTTTTGAATTTCTTCTTGAAAAATTAAGGACTTAAACTAATTTTTTTGGCCAATTTCCCCCCTATCGTTAGTTTTTCATAGATTTCATCCAAATTAACGTTAACTCTTGTCACATGCACACAACATTACTCTTTTTTGTGGACAAAATTGTTACTTATTAGACTTGCAGATACAAAAGCTATAGAATCACACCTATTTGCATAGGTTTATATTTTAGAAATCTACAGTTTTCAATTATTTTAAAGAATGAAGCGACCAAACTACCCTCACATGTTGTGCACATGCTTCCATTTAACAGAAATTTAGATGGAATGAATGAAAAATTAACAGCAGGGGCAAATAGGCAAAAAAAAAAATTAGTTTAAGTCGTTCATTTTTCAATTAAAAAGTTCGGGCAGGGCGGGGGGACGCGAAGGGGAATCGAAAGTTAAGTGATAGTTCAAGGGACAAATCGGCACTTTTCTCTAGAAGAAAATTCATACAAAGTAGGTGGGAAATTTTGACAAATGAGCGAACATGGTAACTCTCGTTATAATATGAATACACAACACATATATGTTATAAAATATAATGAGGCAAATCCGTGACACTATTTTTATTACATAATCTTTTGTGAGTTTACTTTGTAATGTATTTCAACTATTCAAACCGTCTTTCTTTTAAGTATTCCATAAAAAATCATGTATACCAAAAATCACCCAAATATGAAACCATATAAATGTTGGACTAAGGTTTTAAGATTTTTTTTGTAGAACTGAATTTGTCAATTTTCTTCACTATAAATAAATGTGGTCTTTGGTCAAATTAGATGCGGCTAAAGTACTTTTGTGGTGCCACATGGAAAGATGAATATTTTAGTGTAACTTTTTTTGTAGCTTATGATGGTGTGAAAGATTAGTAGAATAAATTAGGGGTAGGCACGGGTCAGGTCGGGCCCAAATTTAGAGAGACCGGACTGGACAGGCTAAAAAAGGTAACGGGACAGACCGAGCGGGGTATTGCAAATCTGATCATTGAAACCGCACCTAACTCAGCCCGTTTCAAACGGGCCGGTTTGGGACTGGTCTATGGGTCCTCTTACCTTTTTATTTTCTTCCTAGTTTTGATCGCCTTGCGATCTTCAACTCAATCTCCGACATCAAGATCCTCATCCGCTGTAGCGCCGTTTCTAAGCTATTCAACTCGCTCGTCCCCCACACAGACTTAAATTGCTCCAGGACATCGTCTCGGCCAAGCCCGACCTGACCCAAACCCAAACCCGTTCCACCATCACCGTCGGATTCGCCGTCACCACAACCTTCCTCTTGCACTTGTCGAACACCTCGAAGCTCTCTACACTCACATCCACCGCATAATACCTAACAAGCATTTCATAAATTCAAAGCTAACATTTTAAATTAAAATATTTATATACATATATATGTGTGTGTGTGTGTGTGTGTGTGTGTGTGTGTGTGTAATTTTATTGTACCTGTGGAGAACGGCGTGGGAGGCGGAGCTCGATGTTGTTGATTTTGAGCCGATTCCTAGGTATATGCCTGGTTATGCTTTATGAAGGTTGGAGAAGACGAAAGGAAGAAAGAGGTTAAGCCGGGTTTAGGGTGGGTGAGATGGGAGAGAGAGATCGAGAGGGAGTAAATTGAGAGGGAGGAGATCGAGAGAGATAAGAGATGAGGGAGAAGATTCGGAATGGAGTCAGGATAGAGAGAGAGAGGGTGAAGGTAAGGCTTGAGTGAATTAGGTCTAAGAAAGAGGTTAACAAACAATATAGGGTAGAGAATCATTTAATCAAGTAGGAATTAACGGTTCGGGCCGGGGGCCCATTTTCTCTCATTTTTAGAACCGCCCCGCCCCGTTATTTACCAGGAACTGGCTTGGCCCGCCCCGCCCCATTTTGTGTTTATAATTTTTGGACCCTCCCAGAACCGTAAGGACCAGCCCCGACCCATGGGTCCAGGACTCGTTTGCCCACCCCTAGAATAAATAGCAATTTTGTAAGCATTATGTGTACACAAAGAGGTTTTAGGGATGCTTTTAGCCCCCTTCTAGTGTGGTCCTCCCTTGATCATGTGACTAATCATCTTTCTTCAAATGAGCTTTTGATAAAGGACAAAAATGAGTAACACCATTTTTCATACTGACCCTCCCAAGCTAAATTCTCTATGAAAGAGCTATGAATTGCCTTTTAAAAATTTGATATGCCTTTGAAAGTTGCATTTTAATTGCTTGAAGAATTGCCTCTATGTACAATGAGTAGGTAATTGCTAGCCTCATGCTTTTATATGCATTAGTACGGGGATTTGTCGATGGGCACTCATCACATGTTAGCATCTGTTGGCATACTTGCTCCAAAGCTATTAACAGCAGTCATCATGCTCACTCAAAAGTTATTAACACCAGTCGACGTGCTCGCTCGAAAACTGTGGCAATGGCATATGTCGACAGGCGTGCACTATGACTTAGCAAATGAACTCAGGCCTACCAAAGCTCAATAAAATGTTAATTTGCATGTTATTCCATTTGAAAAATTTCTTATTAACCCCCCCCCCAAAATAAATTTTATGGATTCGTCACTGCCCGCATGCAAACTAACCCTACCACTCATATAACAATACTTAAAAATGTGCGTGGAAGCTGATCTTGATCATTTATGCTTATATCACACATAAAAAATAAACGACCATATAACCTTACGCGCATCGGGACTAATCATATCACTTCACTCAATTAACAATGTTTAGGAGGGATTTGCGGATGGACAAGGATTGTATGCCCTCCTGGTTCCCGTGCCCTTCTATGTCCTCATGTTTTGTGTGGTCACGGTTAAGCCACGTCAACATTTTATATTGTTTTTTTATAGAGATAATAAGACAAGAATGAATAGTAATATAAAATGTTGATGTGGCTTAACTGTGACCACACAAACAGGAGGGCATGGGAGGGCACAGGAACAAGGAGGGCAGACAATCCTTGTCCTTTGCGGACTTTCTATGGTGACATAGGCACATAACAAGAATCAATTAGATGTCAAAATTGGCTAGAATCCTTGAGTATTGGTGACCTAAGTGATTGTGTTCCTTAACCCAAAGGTCTTAGCAACGTCCGTGGCCGACATGTTTGGGGGTCAAGACAAATTTCAGTGGAACCATTTTTTTCTCTCTACCGTTTTGAGACCCAAAGCTGCGCACTGGAGAGGGACCTATGCTAAAATGCGCGTGCCCGCTCACGTCATCATCTGGCTTTTGTATCTGTATAAATAAACACCCTTTTCATAAAAAATAAAAAAAATCTGACCAAAAAGGATCGAAAGGAAGAAGAGAAGCAGCCCTTCTTTTTGAATCTGTAAGGCTTTCAATTAAGTAACTGTTGACTGGAGGGGACAGCATTTGTTCCTTTCGCCTCATTTTCCCACCACATTTCATATTCAATTAAGTAATACTGGGTGAAAATGTGAATTTAGTCAGTTAGTCAGAGCAGTGTGTTTGTCATTTTACACTCGAGTTCGAATCTCTTCTCTACAGTTAAGTTAGTTGAGCGGAATAATGTGCTTGCTCAATTACTTATGAGTTCAAATCCTAGAAGTAGAGACTAGAGTAGAGTAATTTATAATGTCACAGTGGTAAAAGAATAAACAAACTCAATTCCGCTGGTGTGTATTTCTCTATACACATGGAGAACGGAACACCGTACCAACTTTGCCTGGTTGAAACTATTCCATCAAGTTGTTTCTGCAGCCAGTCTGCAGATTCTGTTTCCTTTACTGCAGAATCAGTAGACACAAGTTGAATAGGCAAAACTAGAACAACCCGAAACTTACTACACGCAGCTAAACATGTTATAACTTCAGTTAATCTCGAGTAACCGGACTAAAGTAGCTAAAGAGAGAGGTGATTGATTTCTCTCTCTCACTTGTAACAAAATCAGAGAACGATGAGTTTAATAGGTTGCAGGCATTCAATCTTTGTATTTTCAACGATGTAAATCACGTCGAAAGTTAGCATATTGTAATGCTATTTTCTTGGTAGATTAACAACTCCATAATTCACTGGTGTTGCATGAAATTTTGAACTAAGCTACAAGAAATGAGAACCATTACTCACACTGCAAAGTACTCAAGAAGTATATTTCTGAACAAGAAGCGTCTTAATTTAAAGCTTCGCATTCGTCCAAGAAGAACATGATCAACAAATCAGAATCCAAGTTACAGAGCTTTGCAGAAAGAAGGTATTTGATCAGTCTAAGTAGCAATTAGCGATTAGCATTGTAGAAATAGAAGGGGCAGATTTTCTACGGGGAGTAATTTCCGCACTCCCCTTTTCACTTCCATCGTTCCTCTATTTTTTCTAGTCATGAGATTGAATAGCTCAGAGGACAATCAACGGACATAATTTAGGAGAGAAGTGTTGGAGGTGAAAAGGCAGAGTGCTGAAATCACTCCCCTTTATCTATTTGACTGCAAACCAGATCCACCATAGTATTGCTTTGTCGTTTCGCGCGAGAAATCTGCAAATGTCATCCCATCTTTCAACCGCAATGCTAGAGGTGGTACAATTTTCTGTATTTCTTCAGTTAGCCTTCTTTGCTCCTGGTCATCAACCTGTTTGACCTCTGAGGATATCTCCAAGGATTTGTCCATGGAATAATCTGTTACGGAGAAAGTTTTGTTCCACGCCGGCTGCAAGAACACAACAAAAGTTTCTCTGCTCAAATTTTCGAACTTGGAAGGCCTGCAAACAGAGTGAAGGGTGGCACGGAGCTTTCCTCGTGATATCATATTAGCCGACTCGCCAACCTGAACTATAAAACTCTCAGGAGAGGCCTTCACCATGAACACATTATCCTTTCTGGGATCAAATATTTGTAAATAAGTATTTCCATTAGGGTAAGCATACTCTTGATCCCCTTCTTCTTTCGCTTGTGGATGATTTGACAAGAGAAACATTGGAGCTGTCAAGACGGTGAAAATCCCATAATCATAATGCCATTGCTGCCACAGATTATCAGAGCAAATCCCCGAAACTTGTTTGCGTTTGTCACCAATCCAATTTTTGCTAGAATTGAAGGGTCTTTTCGATGTTCTCTTCATGCTCATTGCTTCTTCAACAAGAACGGAACTATCAAGCGGTGAATGATAGTGAATGAGACGAGCTTTGGCAGAGCAGGACTCCAACAAGCTCTCCTCAAGCTCATTTCCACCAATGGCACGATCGCATACTCGAGCAAGTTTAAGGCCTAGCTCCATCATGCAAAACCCCAACTCCCTAAATCCATTTCCGAGATTCTCAAACTCATTCACGGATCCATGTTCTGAATTCCATTGGGGTTCATCAAAATCATGTGAATATTTGATTTGCATTGCGAAAGACGACACATTTCTCTCAGGGTTTTTCAAAGGCACATCACTTCCCAAGCTGTGATCCTAAACAAACAGTTAGCTTAGTTACTTGGACAAGAAATAAAACAAAGGGCAAAATTGCACTAGCAGTCCCTATTGTTCATTCGGATATTCAATTTCGTCTATATAGTTTATTTTGACATGTTCATCCTTATAATTTGGTTATGTTTTCACTTTAGTCTAATCCGTCTTCTAAGTTGATTTTTTCCATCCCATTATCCGCCATATCTTCTCATTTGGAAAGTTCAACTCAGAGAGATTTGTGCCCAATTTGACACATTGGAATAACGTTGCTAACGAAATGAAACTATGAGCTCGTTTGGAAGCTACTTTTAAATTACTGAAACTGTCTTTAAATAAAAAGTTTTTTAAACCAATCAATAGTTAAAACTTAAAATGCAAGTTAATCGTGAAAAAGCACTTGAATTATGTGCTTCTTTGGAACAAAAAAAAAAGCATTTTACCTAAAAGCAGTTTCAGTGACTTGTGACTTAAAAGCATTTTCCAATCGACCCCTATATTCAATGAAAATAAGGAAAAATTAGAAGGACGAAAGTGAAAATTCAAGTAATTACAACTGCTACGAGTGCAATTTAGCCCACAACAAAAATAAACTTTTATTTCTTTATGAAAAGTAAAAAGTTAATACCTTGAGAATGCCTTTGCGATGATTAGGGTTGAGAAGGGCGAGCTTGCGAGCGAGAGGGAGGAGGGCACGGCGGAGAGAGGCGGATTTGGGGACGCCGGTAATGGCGAGAAGACCTGGGCCTGTGGGACCTAGGGCTTCCATTATGGCTTTGCTCGTCGACTCCGCCCTTTCGAGCTCTTCTGCCGACGACAATGATTCATCGTTTGACGACACGAGTACGAGGTCGGAGTAGCGGAGCTCATAGAGTTGTAGCACTTCGGCGGCTTCCATGTCCGTCTGCGGCTCTGTCTTATTTTCTCGAATTTGGTCGGAGTTAATGGGGAAGAGGATACAGAATGTGAGGTTCACTATACGACAAGTGGTCTTCTTTACGACCAAAAAGGTCAGTCAAAATAAAAATTAGAAGTGTGATATCTACGCATTTCATTTTATTTCTCACATATTTTTTTAATTTTCGGTCATCGGATCGGATGAATTGAAGAAGATCAATGGACATAAATTATCAAGAGGTGTGTGAGAAGTAAAATAAGATATGTGGATAGCATACCCCTAAAAATTAAGGACACTAATGAAAAAATATTTGAAAACTTTGAGTTTTAACGATAAAGATAAAATAAAGGGTAAAGTGAATGGTACCAGGATTGACTTTTTAATGTAAAAATGTGATTTTTCATTAAAATAAATAATACCGAAAGTTTTTCGTTAAAATTCTCTGAAAATTAAAAATAAAAGTACGATGTCAAAAATTATTAAAATGGACATGTTGGCATGGACTCATATACAGCGAGAATGATTTATAAGGCATGGTTTGCTATGGTGTACATATTATCAGCTTGTTTTGATATGTTTTTAAAATGATTGAAAGCATTTATGGTTAAAATATTTTTTAAATCAATCATTAGCAAAAATCTAAGTGTATCATGAAAAAGCACTTTAAGTGCTTCCTATAATAAGCACATATCTAGTGTTTCTTCCAAAAAGCATTTAAAGTGTTTTTGGAACTCAAAATCAATTTCTTCAAAAGCACTTTCAGTCATTTAAAAAACACATTTAAACAAGCCGTATATATCGGCATTCGTATTATGTAAATTGTTATATTTTTGGGTCACGAATATCGTGACGTTTTGTAGTATTAAATATTATGTGGAGACCTTAGAAAAACTTACACATACTAAGAAGATAGAGATAAAACTTGCAAAAGAAGAAAAATAATTAAAACTAAAAAGAATAATATTTAGCTACTCAAAGGGTGAGTAAGAGTTGCTACTCAAAATTGTTCGTTGCTAATTCATAGAACTCCATGTTTATAAAACCAATCATATTATAAATCACTCTATAAAGACCGTCTTTACAAAAAAAAATCAATTAAAACTAGAGTCGTTTAGTTATCGAATAGTATGAAAACAGATGAACAAAATTGATAAAAACATTACGATCCGTCCATGTATTTGCTACAATAGACTGACTAAACGATTTAATTTTAATTCATTTTTCGCATAGATGATTTTTAAAGAGTGATTCCTAACATAAACAATTCAGATTATAAGCACAAAACTCTGATTGGAACAAGAAAGGTTTTGAGTAGGAGGTTCTACTCGTGCTCGAATAGCCAAACATTGTTCAACTAAAAACCATTCAAAACTCGTTTTACAATTTGCACTCACTTTGAGATTTTCCCATGCCAGCATGAAGATATTAAACAGCTACTCTTTTCGAATTCCAGAATTCCAAGACGTACGGAATTTACAAGATAATGCAATCGCAATGCGAGAATGCGAACTAGGCCGCGATTTCTTTGAAGCTCTTGGCCAACCAAATGGCTGTTTCCCTCGGAGAAACCTTCTCGGGTCCGAATGGCTTCAAGAGCACTCCGAGCTCATCAAACCTTTCTTGTTGTAGAAGACGCGCACTGAACTCAAGCAACCCTTCCAAAGCCTCTGCACGTTGCTGGAATGATGAGGTGTCGAATCGCTGTTGTCGTGACTCGGAAGATGAATGGCTCGAAACACCAGTGGTAGGGTTCTGCTCAGGAGATTCACTGCCATTTCGAGCAGTTCCGTGGCTGCCATCAATTGTACTGGACTTGGAAATGGTTCTGTCTACAACCTGGACTATGCACTTGTCCTTGGTGATAGAGCGGTTCATGCTGTTTGGCGTGGTAGAAGGGCATCTTGCAGATGTTGATGAAATTCCACGGGTTGGAATGAGTGGATCTTCAGAAGAGGCTAAGGGGAATTCAGCCATCTTGTCAAGTCGCGGGGCATTGACAGAAACGTCTGGAGACTCCATAATCCCAAAGGGACCAACATTGGCTCTATATGGTGTTTGCACAGCTGCGGTACTTGTCAAGAACGGAAGAGAAGCTCTTCGAGAAGACTGGGAAGTTTTTCTGACTGGAGAATGCGACACCGGAAGCTGCAATCATGTCAAAATCAATATATAAACTCACCGAGTTTTATCCAACTTACTAATTTAGTAGTATGACTTACCAAATCACGTTTTGAGTTGACGTGGGAAATTCTTGACTTTGTAATGTGCTTCCTGGGAGTAACAGAAACTCTTGCTGTTGTTGCTCGTGGACTGTTAACAACATTGTACTTTGTGGACACCGACTTTCTGTTACCATAATCTTCCTGGGTACTTCCCATAGATACCTCCGTGAACTTACGACTTAAACAACCCGGGAATTCCTGCGTCCTCACACTAGAACATAGAGAGCCCTGTTCAGTTCCAGAAATACTAGGATTTAAGGTCCTATCATTGCTGAATGACCGTCTTTTCTCTCTGCTGGTACAAACAGGACTAGTTTCTGGCTCCATGAATCGTGTTTTCCTCCCATAACTGGACTGAGACCAATCAACTGGGAAAGTATTCCGTCGGGGACTATTTAATCTTAGATGAATCTTAAGCACATAAGGCTGAAGATGGGGATGAGCAAGCACCTCTGCAGCGTGACAAAACATGGATAATGTTGTGAACAAATCCACGTAAATGGATGATTCATTTCTGTAAACAAGGCCGTGTAACTCAACAAACATTCATGCAATGGACATCATACATGACCTACTAGTACATGCAAGAATCAAATAAACAAAAATGCAGTCGGCAAAGGAAAACAAATAAATCAAACTTACACTTGGCCTAAGTTCTGGGTTCTTCCGCAGCATGCTTTTAACAAGACCTCGACTGCAAAAGAGAAGAAAACAGAGAATAGGGAAACCATGTTGTCAATCAACACATTCTGATTAATTGAATACCATATGCAAATATTCATTAAACAACCATCATCACAAAGTTTCCTAGAATATGGCTTTTAGTTCCTTCGTTAGGTGTTTCAATTAAATAAATCTAAATTCTTCGGAGCGGAAGCAGCTTTCAATAAATATCACACATTTAAGAAGAAAAAAAACATCAAAATTTCCACCGACAATGTCTAAACTCAACTCAAAATAAAATATATAAATGAAGTTGCAATCATGAAAAGAACTTAAGACAGGGAGGCAACCGAAGCAGGAAATAGACTCACAATGCACCAGAGTACAATGTCGGAAGTGGAGCCACTATTGACTTGTTTATTTTGTTAATCAGAGATTGTATATCCTGTAGTCAGAACGAAATTCATAAGTTATCAAGGAAAAAGGTAGGACTTGTGATTCCATTCAACTCCTCAAGCCTTATTTCTTGTTTAGTGCCAAAATACCGCTAATAGGTAATACAAAGTTCACAACATTCCTTACTGAAAATTAGCAAACTTACAAAGGCTTTAAATGCAGGCCTGAAAGCAGCCATTTCATATATACAGCATCCTGCAAGACACGTTATATTGATATGTGTATATGGCTAAAAAATAAGGACAAAGAAAAGGAATGGGTTTGGGTGGAGGAATATGCTCATTAAGAAGAGGGACACTTACCTAAAGACCAAATATCTGACTTAGAACCATAAGGTATGTCAGCAAGAAGCTCAGGGCACATATGACTCGGAGTTCCGACAACCTGTACATGGAGCAGACATATCATATCACACATAAGCCAGGGTGTAAATCTTAAAAGTCAAAACTATATGTGTTGGCTGAACTACTTACAGAGGAAGCTAGATCATCTGAAGTTAACATTTTAGCGAGACCAAAGTCACCTACATATTATTATTGTAATTTCAGGATACAATTACCAAGAGAGAATCAAAAATGTGTAACCAAACTTGAATGTCAATCAGCATGAATAAATTATAGCTTACCCAGACGGATGTCTTGATCTTTTGTCAAAAATATATTTGAACACTGAAGCAAAAGAAAAAGTCAGAGAAAACTGTTGAATTTCAAACGTGTAGATCTAAACTAATCTGTCCTTTAACTTGCCACTGACCTTGACATCACGGTGAAGAATATGGTTTGCATGCAAGTAGTCAAGTGCCATCAACAGTTGAACTAACCATTGGCAGAGTTTCTGTTCATATCCAAATTTCAAGTAACAAACAAAAATTACTGGGGGTATCACATTCTGATTAAACATCTAGCACACAATTGGGAGATCTAAGAAAAAACACCCGGAAAATTCACTGCAAATGTAGCAACCTCTTCAGAGAAATGAACACCACGGGCCCTTTTTATGGCTTCTGCCCTGTACAGCAAGAGGCATTAGCATGAAAAGGTCAGAAGAGTGGCGGGAACACAAGGCCAAATCAAATAATTCCTAAAGCAGTAATGAACCGATTTAACAAAGAAGCAAAACTTACATGTCTCCTCCTTCACAATACCCAATAACAATGCACACAAAGCAACCCTGAAAGTAAACGCATCCAAGCTTCAATTGCAGAACTAAAGAATCATGAGTAACATGAATAACTACCAACTCATGGTGGAATAAAGAATATTTATGAGATAGTAGATACTGACCCTTTCGACCCAGGAATCTTTGTATTCCACAATAAATGGATTATGAACCGTGGAAATAAGCTCCATCTGCATTACAACAGACCAAGATAGCCATTTAAATTCCAAATTCTTACAGCCACCATTCCAGTAGTACTCAATACTGTTAGCATATGGATTTAGTTTTAAACAAAAAATAAAGAACGCTGGCCTCCTGGTGGGCAGATCTCCGGCTTCTATCAGTTTGACGAGCAAGGCGGATCTTCTTTAGGACATACCTATGCACGTAAGTATGTATCAAAATTTAGTAAATCTATCACAGACTCGAGTAAATACTAGAAGAAAATTGAAAGGAGACTCACTTCTTCTTTTCGTGCTTATGCCTCACGAGAAGAGCAGAACCAAAAGAACCCTTCCCAATCTGCTCTAGAACTTCATACTGCTCCATCTTAAATTCTACCAGTCTCACTCTTCAGGGCCTATAAAACACTTCTACACCTAAAAACAATGCACAAAAACAATCCACACATGAAGAAACAAAAAAGGAAAAACAAGATTAACCGCACCCGAAAAAATAAACACATACAACAATTCAAATCATGAAGCAAAAATTAGTGAACTTTCAACAATGTAATCATGAAGCACATTCACCAATTAGTAAAATTATGAAGCGCAATTTAACCCGTACACAAGTTATCAGCTTGAACAAGGAAGTAAACTATGAATTACACCATGGCAAACACAACCCATCAACCCATTAAGCATAATTCAACCCTTAATCAAGCTTAGTTAACAATTTAATCAAATACCCAAATCGAACTCGTGCGACAATCCATCATAAACAAACTATGAAAACAGCAAGAAAAAGTAAGATCAACAGTACCAGGAATCAAAAAGAAAAGTACCCAAGAATCCAGAACAAGAAAAATACCAAGAAACTCGAAGAACGAGTGAATCTGCAGTTTCTTCTTCCTTAAAAACTTAAACTTTTCTATCTAAAAAATTTTAAAAAAGGGAGTTGGAGTGTTTATTTGAATTAAATGGGGACAAAATTAGGAGATTCGGATAAAAGCCCTCCACCTACTTACCTCCTAATTAATAATCTCCTAATTTTTCTCCATCAGATAAATCGAATAACAAGGTGAGCGCCAAATGGAGTAAAACGAAAGCAAAGCCAAAGAAAGAAGAATTCAAGTTCAAAATTTGCAGAGAGAGAGAGAGAGGCGGGTTTGGTCTCGGGTACGAAAAGATTCTTGAGAAGGACCGGGGAAATCGGGTGGGCCCACTGCACGGGTGGCTGCAGAAGGAATTGGGGAAACTGCCAAAGCGGCCCACTGCGTACACGACGAACGGTACTTTCCTTTTTTAACCCAAAAGATCAAAAGCGGATTTTGCCGGGTTTTTCAAATTTGTCGGAGGTCGGAGGCCTGCCCTGGTTACGAGTCAAGTTAGTGGGTTGAGGCCCAAAGTGAATAGTTTGTGGGCTCTTTGGGGAAATTGGGAGTTTATGAGTCGGGATACGATTCCATATGTCATAACAAAAGCGAAGGAAATGACTTCTTTTTTTGTGTCCCTCCACTTCTTGTAGAGTACCTGCTTCAATACGGGGCATTTGAAAAAAATTATCCTGAGTTAGGGTGGGTCGATTTGTTTTTTATTTTTTAATACGAATGGGGAGGGGAGAAAGAAGGAAAACTGAGACCTTTGCATCTAGTTTCATTTGATCTGTCTAAACTAGCAATAGGCACACACGCAATGCGTGCGAAACAAAATTTGTTTTTAATGTGAACTTTTAATTTGTTTTGTTTTTTTCATTTATTTGTAAAGTTTTTTATTTTTATGTAATTAACTATACAGGTAAAGTCCGCTTTCAGGGATGATGTGAAAGTAGAGAAGAGGTAAGTGGTAGGTTTCAGGGATCCGTGTTGCACTCAAAGCAACACAAACAGCCTGCATGTTTTGTTTCCTCCCAAAATCCCAAGGGTTTAGGGTTTAGGGGTTCGTCGCTGCAATTTATGGCGTACATGTATATAAGCCCATTTAAACATTCCAACTACTTCCACATGAATATTAGGCCAAATATTTATTCACATACCTAAAAACAAGCACAAAAATTGCTAAATAAGCCTAGAAGATGGTGGACATGGTTCAACTTTAATTAGGAGTGATTCCGTTTTACATTCAAGTTTCGTTTTTGGACACTCATTAATTTTAGGCTTAAATATTAGAATGGTTTTTGTGTTTTAGTCATTGGGTCAATTTAGTCCATGTGTTTTTAATTTGACCAATTTGGTCCTTGTGTTTATCTCTGTTAGCTAATTAAGGATATTTTCATCTAATTTATGTAAAAAAAAAAATTACAAATGATTATAAACTTATTTATAAAATTATTTATTTGTTTTAAAATATTGTAAAATTAAATAAAATTAAAAATTAAAAGAAAAAATTATTCTCCTCCCAACTCCCCGACCTCCTCTCTAACGTTACCCCTCTCTTTTATATGTCACAACCTTTAATCATTTTTCAAATTGTAAGTTTTATATCTTATATGTGTTATTTCTCATTGATTTGCATTTTTCTGTAAAGAGAAAGGGTAATTATATCTCTTATAATTTTTCTTATGAATTTTTTAATAGAGATTGAATGAAATGTCCTTAATTGGCTAATAGAGACAAACATAAGGTCTAAATTAGACCAAATCGAAAACAAGTGACTAAATTGGCCACATGACTATAACACAAGGATCATTTTGACATTTAAGCCTTAATTTTATTTAAAAGAAAAAAACTCATACATCTACAAGCCATAAAAGGGAAGGGATCCATATATATATATATATATATATATATATATATATATATATATATATATATATATATATATATATTAAATGGGGATTAGTCGTGGGACCCACTTCACATCGATCTTCAATGATCGGAATTGTCTATTGTATAAGTCTCGATTCATTGATCATTCTTGCAAAAATTTAATTCAATCTGAAACCATTTGTCTATTTAATTATCATGATGAAATTTCAATGTTTCTTAGAGAATAAAGTGTGCGTCAATTTCTTTGAATTCAATTAAATGCCTCAAATATTTCCGATTTAGCTATACATAAAATTATCACAAATGAGTAATCGAAGGCTGAGGCTGAGGATGCAGTGCCGGTGGTTGGAAGTCAAATAGCATATGGGTGTCCAGAGAAAAATATCATGAAAAGTTAAAGGTTATTCTTGAAAGTTCAGTAAATTGGGTCCAGAAAAATAAGGGTTTACAAAGACGAAACTTGAGTGCACATAGAACCACTCTTAATTAGAGAAAATGAACACGAGCTTCAATTTTTGCAAATCACTTACTAACGAATATAATGAAAAGTTCATGCCTACATGACAAACTATGACTTCTTACATATAACAAGGAAGTAGTTTCAAAATACAATTATAAGAAATGTTCTTGTATCCTATTTAATTTGTTTTCATGTTGTTTGGACCATATGGATAGTCCTTTGTGCTCTCATGTTCATTTTACCGAAAACAATTTACATGGCACGGATACACCACCATTTGTTGTCATGTGCTAATGAAACAAAGTCAGGTGAACATAATTTTACTGATTTTATTCCATTGGCACAGCTCGCCGCTAGTAAGTAGTTATCCATTTTACCAGGCCAAATTCCAAGATGCAACATAGACCAATATGAAACATGGGACATAGACACATTTGGATTTTCTAATCCATGTTGTTTTGTGAAAGTAGTAGAAATAAGTGTAAGGTAGGGTCAATCTGGAAACGTAAGTAGTAGACATAAGTGTAAGGTAGGGTCAATCTGGAAACGTATCAAGATATGAAATGCCCTACATCAGAGGTTAAGGGAGTGCAAATGGAACTGGAATCAATTCCTCGTCACAAGATCCATTAGAATATTTCTGCATCTTAGACCATATTCGTCTACAAATATCGTTTTTGCGCACACTATATGTCGCTTAGGGCTTTAATGGTCACAGCAAGCCACAAAGGGTGTGTTTGTTTCTCGGAAAAAAAAAAAACAGTTTTCAGAAGTATGGAAAAAGGGTTTTGGAAAAGGACAAGAGATAAACACTGCTTCTATATCCAAGTAGAAGAAGAGAATAGAAGAGTGGTAGTTTCTTTCACTTTATTCTGTATGATTCTTATTGAACCAATCTTTACACATTATCTGTTGTCTGGCTGCATGATATGACACACCCCGACCTGAAATGTCCAATAGGACTCCGAATCAAGCTGCGTTGGCCAACACCTAGAAGGTGACGAAGCCATAAAGTGTGAAGATGTGGAAAAATGTGAATAAATTTAAACCTAAGAGTGCCTAAATACCAGAGTGCGCTGGTGAGCAGGAAGGAACCCACTTCACACGTGACGTTAGAGTATAAGTAAGTACAGTGGAGTGGATTAAGAATCATACCCTCGAAAGAATCTCCAATACTAAGAATCGCCACGAATCTTCGACGATAAGAAAGCTCAACTACTAAAACCTGGAGGGTGAAAACAAAATTAAGGTGAGTGGCCCTAGAAATGAATTTTAATAGAAACCATCTAAAGCATTATAACCCTTCGCTGTAACACCTGTATAGTTTCCAGAAAATCATACCACGTATCAATGTGAAATCAAAAGTATATCAACAGTAAACCATAAATATACCACAACACAGCATCTCATCAACAATATCAATAATCATGTGATTAATAACTCATACTAGCACGCAAGTCAGAGTCACCTATGGTGACCTGTACAACTGCACCCATATCTCATCAATCAATGCTAACTCATAAGTCGGAGTCATCTATAGTGACCTGTATGACTTATCCATATCTTATCACATATGCTAACTCATAAGTCGGGAGTCACCTCTAGTGACATGTATGACTTATCCATATCTCATCACATATGCTAGCTCATAAGTCGGGAGTCACCTCTAGTGATATGTACGACTTATCCATATCTCATCACATATGCTAGCTCATACGTCGGGAGTCACCTCTAATGACTTGTACAACTTATCCATAGCTCAATAAGTATACTTGCTCAGGAGTCGGAACCACTTAAGGTGGTCTGTACGACAGGACTGGGTGTAAATAAATACGCTCAAGTGCTACGATCACATGAAGACTGTGCGAATAATCGCGGGTAACCTACGAGTTGGAACCACCTATAATGATATGTACACAGACCTGTGCACCTATCTTGGATCCAAGGTGAACGTAAGGTGCAGAAGGTGAACATCATGTGAAGGACTGTGCCCTGACCACGGGCAGGAGCACTAACACCGGGGTGCAGGTTTATGAGATCTAAATGCATCTCATGTGACATATACAACTCATAGGCACTTGTACGACAATGTCGAAGTTGCCTAAAACATAATGTGATCATGCCATAACTCAATCATTTCAACTAATATCATAACTCACCTGAACTTACCTATGCGTTCCGCGTTCATCTTCGCACTTCAAAGCATTCATAATAATTTTGTGCAGGTAGTATACATGGATGTGCCATAATGCAATTCTAAAACTCAAACATATCATAATATTTTCACCTCTCCCAGACCCTGCGTAAAGCGGGAGCCTTGTGCACTGGGTACGACCTTTTTTTTATACATATATATATATATATATAATGTGGCGTAAAATGCACAATCTATAATGCCCTACTCCCAAATTATTTATTTTCGGAAATAATTATCAGGGATAAGTCCAACTAAACACTAGTTTAATTAACTATCATTACTTACGTTTCCTTATTTCAGTTTCTTGATTCCTTCCATATTGATTTATGACCAACATCCAATCACTAAAACATAAGGTTAAATCTCATATTTTCACCAACTTCCTTCACATTGCTCAATTTCCAAACAAGGTATTTGTTTCAAATATTGTATGGTTGCATCTAACGTCTCGTTAGACTGCCTACGTAACCTAAACAGGGATCAAACCATTCGTAGTTCACAATAGTATTTCAAAGCATTCACATTAATCATAAGCAATAATCGATTTATAAACATTTATGGAATTGTCAAAAAAAAAAAAATATATATATATATATATATACACGATAGAATGGAAAAGACCCACTCACCTATGGTCCGGGCTACGACTTCCTAGCACGCATATCGAGACATCACAAACTATCGTCACCTATGACCAATTATCAAGTCACATCTCAGAGTTCTGACCAATAGAATACA